TGGAGCCTGTATTGAAGGATCAAAATTTATGCAAGAACAAGTGATGAAATTGCAATGTGGTAGGAATATGGTGCTTTATGCAGACATTCAGGGTTAATCCTAGTTTGATTCTCTTCCTTTGCTCTCTGTGGCTTACAGTTTGTTACAGAGGCTGTACTGCTGTTTTGATTTTGACTCTCAGCTGCAAAAAGATCCTCCTATATAGCCTGAATTTTCTCACAGACCTATGAAGGATTCCCTGTATTCATGCTCCACTAGCATAAACTTGTGTGTCACAGCCATCTCAGGTAGAGCAAGAGCACCACCCAAACTATTTAAGAAATTCAGGGCATGGAAATTCAGTGCTGTAACCCACTCAAGTTGCAGGGTGAATGAACTTGAGTTGGAAGATTCAGATCCATATGCACAGTAAACAATCAAATCTTCCACTGTTTAAATCACCTAAATGCACTGATACTGCTTAAATTATTATTCTCCACAGTGAGTGCTGATGAAACCCTGTGGCTTTAAGTCTTCAAGGCATATGGCCATCAGCAATCAGTGCTTCCCTGCACATGCCTAATGATGTTATAATAAGCACTTTGTTAAATTTAGCTGAAAACTTTGAGAAATATCCAACTCTTCTTCCAGGGAATCSGGAGAAAAGATGCTTGTAAAAAATGCAAAAGATTTACTTTTGAATCACAACACCAAGATAAACCTCCTCAATACTGCAACTGTTACTTCAGAAGAATGAGAGATCAGTATTTCAGGGGGATTAGAACAGTTTTTATGAAACAAGGTCCACAATATATGGGCTTATTATAGACTGGCAAACCAGCTATCAGCTGTGCTATGGGTCAAGGAGCAAACATAGGCCAACCCATCACTGTCATATGTAGACATAGTTCCATTATAATCAATGGAATTGAAACAGCTTATTCTAGTGATAAATAGCAACACAGTAAGTTTTACTATTTTTAAAAAATGCTTTCTCTGCAGTGAGTGACTGGCAATAACATCATATAAAGCACCAGGAAAAATCTCATTTGTCACATTGGGGAAAGAGTGTTAGGTAGATCTGAATTAGACTGTAAAATGCATGCATTCAATATGCATGCAAAAGGGAACTTGGTTGCCAACTTAAAATGCRAGGAAGAAGTATAGTGCTTTTTAAGAGCAGATATTATATTAGTAGTCACTGGAGAAGGTATTCCTTCTACTCATGATATCCATATTTGCTATGAATGACAGGGTATTCTGCATTTGCGGTGCCTAAATTCCTTGTGTTGTGCAGTGAAATTTGCTGGCGCTCATCCCAGAACCTGTCAAGTAAGAGTACATGGATGTCTGCAGTAATTTATTGGCCCCTGTTTGCAATCCCCTGAGAAATGGCATTCTTGAGTTCAAATTTTGTTTAACTTTTTGCTAAATCTTTTTAAGTAGTGATAATTAAAAGCTGTTGTTAATAGCATGGCAAAAGTTGTATGATTTTGGGAACCTATTTGGCAATAGCAGTTAGAAACATTCCACAAAGACTTGTGGTGTCTGTGCTTGCCTCTCATCTCACTACTCCCCTTTTAGAGAATAGTTTGGCTGTGCCAGCAAATGTTTGTTTATTTAACTTGTAAAGCTGTCATTGCAGACAGATGCTATTGCAAGAATGTCCCACCTGATTAATTTCTTCTGATAGCCAAAGCTTCTTGCAAACTGTTTCTCAAAAAGAAAATGAGCTAAGAGAAAAAAAAAAAAATAAAGGCACAGAAGTCTTGTGTAATCTTGTTCATTACCAGAATGTGTCTACGTGTGTTCCCATTTCCTAGGTCTGTTTAGGAAAAAGTATTTCTTTTTAAAGATGATCTCTTTCTTTAGGTACCATACCATAGACCTTTAGATCTACCTCTAAAATGGGAAACTGAACTTTTTCTTCCTCCTTTCCTTCTTCCTATATCTCTGCACATAGGCCAATTCTAAGACAGAGGGTTTTGTTTTGTTTTTTTAAGTTCTGAAGACTTTTTTAGGACATGTAAAAATTGGGAGYGAAAAATAATAGATACACACCAACAAGGACATGGGAGAAGTTAAATGACCTGTGACTGATAGTTGAAACTTTTTATAGCTTCTCTATATGTCAAAGAAGTTTTAATATTATCAAACAGGTACACTGACGCTTTCAGAAATGCATGATGAACAGCTTTCCTTCAGACGTTTATAAACATTTACTATGACTGTCCATAAAAATAAGTAGCTATTTGTCTAGAAGTTCAAGATAACTGCAAAGAATGGCTCTTTTCTTTTTCAGTCTACTTGTGTTCTTCCTAAAACAGCTTTAAATAAACCAATAGGCTCTTATATTCCTTTAGAGAAGCTTTATAGTTATAATAGCTAAATTATTATGACACTGAGGTCAGCTACATCAGTGCAAAAGAATTATTTTAAGGAATATACTTTATTTCACATGACCTGACTTTTCCTAATAGTCTAGATGGGCTTAAGGCTACATATTAATGAGATTTTCTAAAATGCATCAATGGCTAGCAAAACTTGGAGTATGTTGCAAATGTTTTCGAAACACCTACTTGTCCTGGTTTCATGTATCAGGAACAAACCATGTTTTATAAGCAGATCTCTCATTTAAGCATTTTGAAATTATATCAAACTCTCTCTTTTCAGTCTTCTTCTTTCAGAGAAGACTGGAGACTTGATAGAGACTATACAGCTAACATAATAGTTAACTTATACTCAAGTATTTAATGGCAAACCACAGTGTACATATGCAGAATTAAATTTCAAACATCAAACACACCTGGCAGCAATTTTTCACTTCAGTTTTCTATGCAAGAAGAAATGCATTTAACTCAATAGAATTGCATCAATGCAGCAAAAATGAGATCAAATTTTGTAAATAGAATGGAATTATCATATATAAAGATTTAATCAACTCAGTCTTCAAGTTTGTTGCAGAATAGAACCAAACGGATCTCATCAATGTATAAATAGCTTATGAGAGTGAATAAAGATGGAACGAGTTTTCTCAGAAAGGACAAGAAGCAATGGACACAAACTGAAACACAGAAGATACCATTTAAATGTAAGAAAAAACTTTTTTAATGTCAGCCTGTTTGAACTCTGGAGTAGGCTACCTAGAAATAATTGTGGAGTCTCTATTCTTATCCTTTTAAAATATAAGAAAAATCTTTTTTACTGTAAGACTGGTTCAACTTTGGAAAAAAAAATGTCCACTTTTGGAATCTCCATCCTTGGAGAAGAAAAAATAYATAATTTAAATTCCATTTAGCATGGGTCCTGTTATCAGATTTGATATTTAGCAACACTGCCTCTTAAACTCAATTTTCTGGGATCATTTGGTATAAGCAGAGAGTTGGACAGAAGTGAAATCATTAGTGATTCATTTATATCATTTATATGAAAATGCTGAGAAAGATAGGCAGAGATTAAATCAAATTGTTCTAATCTGCCTCAGGGCTATTCTAAGGATAAAGAATAAACTCAAATTGGAAGCAGAAACAGATAGAGATATCTGAAATACTTGATGATATAATCTATTGCTCTCTTTCCTGCAAGGTTATTTCAGTGCCTATAAACATTCCTCAGAGATCCAAGGTGTCTATGCTTAAAAGCCACAGAGCACATCTAATTAAAGGACTTGTTAAAGCCATTCTCTTCTCCTGACATCATCCACAAACAAGGCTATAATTTTATGACAAAGAAAAAATATTTAAWATTTTGATAGCTGGCATTTGTGGCCTGTAGATTGAAGATAAAAGGAAGCAAAATAAACCTGTTTCTCCTTACTCTTGTAGCAAAAATAAAAATCCTGATAAAATAAATTGTGTTAAAATAACAAACTGGAAAACTTTTAAACGTTTTTATAGCATTTGGTTAGGCAAGAAGATAAATTACATCTATACTAAATACATAAAACTCTATGCATCTGAATTTTCTGTGAGATGAAAAAAAAGGTCAGATTGATTTCTGCAGCCTGTATGATCAGTATGGATAAAAAAGCAAATGAAGAAGCAGATACACTGAGGAACTCGATCAAAATTGTGATTGGACTGTATTTTTAAAATTATACAGTAGAATGTATACAAATGTATATCTTGGAAGATATATTAAAAACAGACTGAAATTTAAAYGAAATATTTCACTACTGATCTTCAGTGAAACATGTCAAAACTGTCATCTGGAAGAATCCTAAGAGGTTTCCAAGATCTGTATTTGCACATTAAAAACAATTTCATCAGGCCCTCCAGTGTGTGGTTAGTCCAGAGCATGACTGTCTCTTCTAAATAGTGTTTCTTTATCTTTATGGGTTTCTACTGCTAGTTTAACATTCCTTTGCTTTACCATTTGCTTTACCATTTACCATTTGCTGAATGATTTGAATGGAAGGAAATAAGAAACCTAACCCAGAAATGAGTGTTTTGTTCAATTACATGCAAAGATGTTACACCATAATAATGCTTCCCACCAACAGAATGAAGAACAGTGAGATGTTTGCATCTTAAAAAAAAAAAAAAAAAAAGAAAAGAAAAGAAAAAAAACAGCTGCACATACAGGTGTCTGCACCAGATGCTTCCCTAAATACAATGTGATAAAAGTGATTATTTCCCACTCATCTGAGAACAATCCCAAAACAGGGTATTTAAAGGAGGATGATAGTGCAGGTAATTAGGAGCCCCATGCCTTACACACAAAACAATGTTTAAGAGAGTGAAGCTGAGAACCATCTGTCCTTTACACAGGGGGCTATGTTTTTATTTGTGCATTTATCATAATGATGGGCAGTTTTCAGCCTGCTTTCCCAAGCAAGATCCTACTCAGAAAATGATTAAGGATTAAATGTCTTATTCCTGTTTGTAACAGGTGGTAGCATGCCTTATGTTTCCAAAAAGAACTAGGACACCAGAATATGATACTTGACCAAAGCATATTTCTGGGAGATATATAAAATATTCTGGCTTTAGCCCAGCTGTGTGTGCTCTGTTTTTTCCTACCTTTGGACTTCCTGTCGTGGTAGCTCCTGCCTCGGTAATGGTGGCCACTGTCTGTGTACAAGTTCTCGAGATCTTCTTGCCAGGAGTCTGGGTTGAAGTGTTTGAGTAGATCCTCCACTGTGTCAAACGCCGCAATGGTCTGATCCAGAGCTTCCGCCGTGAGAGTAGGGTCAGTCACTGATGGAGAGGGATAGGAGACCCCCTAAGAGTGACATACATCTCAGTGTACTTGGAATAAATTACAGCACTGCTCAAAACAATTGACAAAAGTTACTGAGAAACTTGTCTTATCCCTGAAAGAAACAGTTGTTCTGGTGCCATTTTTTGAAGTCCTTAGCTGGGCTAGTTTACAGAATGCCCGTGCTGTATTTCGCAAGGCAGAGAGACACTACGGTAACTCCCAAGCAAATCCCAGAAAAAAAAAGTGCAGGCAATGGCAGGATTACTACTGTTGGAAATACAGGGTATATCAAAAAGGATGTGAGAAGGTTGGAAAAATGCAAAACTCAGAAGTTCCACTCTTGTCTTCTGCAGGAACTGTCAATGTGTACACCAGCCCTTCAAAAGGGAGGTCTGTTTGCACACATCTAAAGATATAACGGAAATATCTTTGAAACTGCTGTGATGGCCATTACCACAGAATGGAGGTGTCTTGTGCTGGGATGGGACCTTCACTGGGCCTACAGCTATAGCTGGTAAATCCCAAATATGCAGATTGGGAGCTACAGCAGGGAAAGACAAAAACAACAAGCCCATTAGCCTTAATCTCTCAACGTGGTCAGTTGGACTAAAGATTTGGTTTGGTTAAGGACTTGAAAATATGGCTCTTTGCTACTAAGAATTAAAACTACTATGAAATACAGATGAATGCAAATTACCCCATCTATTTACTAAAAATAAAAGTTACTAAAGCAAATGAGAAAAAATGTGATATTTGGGCCTCAGCAATGTGACAGTGAAAAATGGAATTACCAAAATAGTATTAATCTCACAATAATACCGTAATATCGAAAGGAATGTTATTTACAAGCAGAAAAGACCAAGCATCACTGTCCGAGCATATTTGTTTGCCACTGAATTTGTGACACAACTAAGCTTAAATAAAACAGTGCATTGCTTTAATTTTTATTACTTAAATTTTTTTTTCATAATCCTTATTTAAAATTATAAATATTCAGTATCTGAATATCACATTTTTTCATTATCCAAGCACAAAACACCCTACTAGCTAGGTAGAATATGCACAGGAAAAATATTTAATGAAAATCTATTACTTTCTAAAGAATCAGAATCGAAATACCTGATTTGTCCAATAATAAATATATCATAGCACAAAAGCTTTGAAATTTTCTTTTTCTTTTTTTTTTTCTTTCTTTTTCTTTAAATTTATGGTTTAAAACATGGCAGAAGTGGGCACTGGAAAATGAGAGAGCCCCATTTCTCCTGAAAACAAGCTCTAAAGTCATGTAGCAGAAACACRTCATTTAAAATTAATGTCTCAATGAAATAATTTTTTGCATGATCTCACAAGAAMGTACAAATATTAAAATATTAATCTTTGTCATTAACCTTACTCAGCCGAGCAGTCGTGAAAAGACTGCTTATCTGAGTAAAGTTACTCACTTGCTTTTGAGATTGCATCCTTCAATAGATACAAAAACAGTTTTGCAGTAATATGTCTTCTAAAACAAAACTTTGTCAGCTAGACATATCACAGAATTTGCAACCCTTGGCATTTTACTGCATATATTTGCTAAAAGCAGGGACTGTCCAAATTATTAAACACATGAAAGACAAGAAACTAAAACATCACAAGAGCGTGGTCAGGAAAGCATAACCGCACTTCCCTCCTTATCACCAGCAGTGTAAGAAATTTCAGAGGACCCATTTGTGACTGTAAGGCTTGTGACAATGCAGTGCTAAATAAGACACTGTGCAGCTGACTCTAAAAATTCATGAGCCACTAAAAGGGAAGGCATACAACACAATCCCTGCTCAGGGACTTGGAATAAAGAGATGGGAGCCCCATGGGATGAAAAGCTCTCATCAGTAAAGTGAAAGCAATGTTGTGAGCTAAAACAGGGCTGCTGGAGAGCTGGTGGTGTAGTCGACGGGTCACAGTATCCAATACAGTCCTTGGTGTAACACAAGAAAAACGCACCACACTTGCTCATTTAAAAGAGCTCAGTGGAGTTAATGACCTGTCTGTTGATCACAGCCCAAAAGGAAACCTTCAGTACCTGAAGCCCTTCTAAAAAGAGAGCAAGGGAGGGAGATGATGCAAGGATGCTGACCAAACAGCATTAAAAATARTCTATGCTGGTAACACAGCCATAGTGAGAAAATTCGGGCCTGTACRAGCATAACGTTGTACAGAGACTGCCTCACAACTTGCACACAACCCTCTCCTCAGAAATGTACGTAAAGCCCATGTTTTTGGCTCAGGAAGGAGGGGGTGCTAGCCAGCAAGACTATATTCGTGTGACTTCGATGACCTCAAAGATTTTTTTTAATGTGTTCAACTGTGCATTTCATTACAGAGCTRTAGGTCACCCTGTGAATTTGCAGGGCATGTCAAACTAATACAAGCAGCAGGGATTCCCCACTTTCTTTTCATATTAAAGCTCTTGCTCAAGAGATTTCTGCAGCCTAGTTCACACACAGAAGAAAGCTTAACTTTTTTCTCAGTGACAGCCAAGTCAAGAGGAATTATTACAACAGCTCCGATAACCTTTTGGCAGCTACATCATGTGACAGCCCCGAATGTAACTTCAAAGCTGCCAACCCAACTGCWTCTCTTTTGTCCTGCCAAGAACAAAATGCTAGGTTTAGAAGAGCTTGTGCTAGCTGTAATCTGGCTTCTGTGATTGCATCCAAAGAAATGGTAAGAATAGTAAAATGCAAAAAACAATGACTAGCAAATATTTTCCATAGGATGTACTTCAAGGTTTCTCAAAAGCTTGGAACACGTTTTTAATTTCATGGGCCACAATGGCATTTTTCTTTTCTTGTCAGACCCTGTTCTGTAAAGATATTCTGGCTGATCCTATCTTTCTTTCTGTATTGTGCAGCTGATAGGCACTTCACTGTGTAATATAGTTTCATCATCATGTTACTTTGGAAATAATGCAAACTGACCTAATAAGGAGGGAATTTTGTTAGCTTTTCTTTGTGTTTGTCATCCTGGATTAAGGACAGAAGTATTGTTATCAGACTTCTGAATTAAAACAAGAAATATGGTTCTGTGATATGACCTCAAGCAAGCAAGAATCCATTTGCTTGCCCTCAAATTTTCTTTCTGGCTTGTAATGTATTCAGATCCTAAAATAAGTCTTTGGGTTGCCTGCAGGTTGGAGGGACAAAACTTAGAATTGTCATGCTAACACAGTATCAGCAGAAAAATATGCCAGTTTGGCAGTAACTGACAGATCTAAGTTTGTTCTTTCTACCACGGAAGACCAAATCTACAAACTTTTTCTTTCAGAAGAATTTAGATGCTCTCAAGAGTTTTTTTCCTTGGTGGCTTTGGAGATATAACTCAACCTCTATACTATATTTTCCTTAAGGATAAAAAAAAGCTAGTGATACTTAATCCCTGGCTGCAATGAATGCTGGCTGCAAGGAACATTTTCCTTATTAGAAGAAGAATGGTGTGCAAAAAATAAAAAAAAAATGGGGTTCTGATTCAGCTGTAGATTTCTGTGTGACCTTCAGCACCAGCTTTCTACTTGTAATACCTGAACTGAACCTCTTACACATGAAGAACTTTTCAGAAAATTACTAGATGTAAAAGATAAAATAATTCAGGTTCTTCCTTCAATATGAAAAGAATATGGATTACTGTTTGTTGCACTGGGCGCCTCACGATGTTAAGGATAATTAAATATGGCTTTTACATGTTGATCTCATTTTCATAGCTACCTGATGAGGGAGCATTCAGTTTACACTTTAAAACATCAGCATACCATATTTTTAAACAAAATACTCTATCAGGAAAAAAAAAAGCACTCACTTTGTTAAGACATGTTAGAATGAAAAATGTGTTTATGTCTTTCAGCAAGACAGTCTCTTAGTATCTCTTGCTTGGCACATCAAGTGGATCTTAGTCCTGCCAACATTACTACTCAGAACTTTCAGCTCAATTAATTCAAGGCTGTCAGCAAATTCTATCATGAAGAGCAAGTACCAGCTGCAAAGTCAAGGTAGGACTGGCTTAACCTCTTCTGATTTCAACAATCCAGAATTTTCTCTCTATTCTCTGCCTGGCCTGGAGCACCATTCAGAAGAATTTACCCACATTTTATTTACTGCTACTCCACTGGCAAGTTCTGTAACAAAAGTGCCATCACTAAATCATCTTCTATGAATGTCTGAAGCATCACTTTTGCTTGCCAATGGTGCTTTGAGCATTTATCCTTCCTCTACAGAAGAGGAGCAATCAGCTCTTAGCATGGTGTTGATCAGCCGGTAGCCCGCAGAGTACAGGACCAGCTATTATTATTAAGCCTGATGCTGCATTGCCATTCCCCACAATGTGGGCCTAGAATTTAACTTGAGAGATGTAGTGGGGGTCAGATTTTTGGTCAATGAAAGATAAAATGTAATGAAGAGAAAGGATTATTAACTACCTTCCTTTTTTTTTTTTTTTTTTTTTTTATGGCACATTTCATTGCTTAATATGGAGACTTAAAATGCAGTATTTCATTGCAAACAGTAAAAACAAACAAAACCTTCCAATATAGACAATGAAAAGATATATTCATTCTCCTACCAGTTTCCTATACTCCTCCATTTAGGTCAAGACATTTCATAATTTCAAATCTTAAGGAGTTCCTATCTTGTGTTTTCTTCTTGTCAAGATGAGTTTGAAAGTAAAAAATGTTTCCCAATGGTGTGATAACTGTATGAGATAGCTATCTCATATGGTTACAACAGCTGCTGGCATAACCTAAATCTCTTCTTTTAAAAACTCCTATCCGAGCCTAGGATGAGTGGATAAACACTTCTTATTTTATCCTCTGCCTGAATATATGTAGAATACATGGTTCCTCTGTACAAGTTCCTTTACAGTGAACTGAAGCCATCTCATCAACTAATTTATGGGCAAAATAGTAAGAAACTACTTACTGAGACAGAGCTTGTGACTGACTCCCAGTTGGTTTCTGAGGCTGCGTGCTGGAAATCATCCTAAGAGGAAAAACCCATAGGAAAAATCACCATTAAGGCAATGTCCTAAATTAAATATAGAACCTAAAAAATGTCTAGCATTCTGTATCTTTTTTTTTAAGCTTCTTCCACACAAACAGCCCTTACTATGTGCCATTATTTACTCCTTTCTTCGGATAATGTTAGTCTTTATTTTTGTCCCTTTTCATTCTTTATAAACTAGGTCCTGGCAAGCTTGTTGGGGCAAGGATGTTGTTATTAGTATTTTTAATAAGCTGTATAGTACTTTGTATAACATTATATTTGTCTTCTGACCCAAATATTAAACACCATCTCTCTATGTCTACAGTAACTGTGAAGTTACCCAACTTGACTCACTCTAGAGACAATGTAGGCATACTAATAACCAAGAACTACTTAGCCATGGTGAGAAGCAGGGTAATCTAATCTGTTTGAAATGTAGTTCTAACACAACTGTGCTGTTCATAGTGTTTGTGATGTACTGAACTCGCTCATCTGTGCAGAGTGCTGAATGGTGCCATCTTCTTTGCGCCGAAAGGTAGCAACAATACATTTGTATTAGGTGTCTGATAAGCACATGCACTCACTCCCAGCATCTATCTTTAATTTCATAGAATTACAGAACAGCTGGCRTTGTAGGTGACCATGGAAGTCAGCTGGCCCAATACTCATCTCAAGCATGGCACCTAGAGCATGTTTCTCAGGACCATGTATGTTTGGGTTTTCAGTAGCTCCAAGAATGGAGACTCCACCACTTCTTTGGGCAGACCWATTTAGTGTTCAACCACCACTACCTTGAAAAAATGTTCTCTTATGTTCAAATGAAATCTCTTATGCTCCAGTTTGTGCCCACTGTTTCTCATTCTGTCACGAGGTACCACTAAGGAGAGTCTGTCCCCATACTCTTTACACCATTCCAGCAGATATTTATGCATATTTATAAGGTCTCCCACATAAGCCTTCCCTTATCTAAGCTGAACTTCCTCATCTCTCTCAGCCTCTCCTCAAATTGGAGTTGCTTCTGTCCTTAAATCACTTAGTGGCTCTTCACTGGACTTAATGCCAGTAAATCTATATCCTTCTCATGCTGGGGAGCCCAGCACTGGGCCAGAACTCCAGATGTGGCCTCAACAGGCAGAGTAGAGAGGTAGGATCACCTCCCTACCCTGATGATGATGGGATAGGGATTGTGAAATCACCCCCTGATGATGAAAGGGATAGGATTCATCTCATCTACTTTTAGATATTTACAAAGAAGACATCTAATCTAGTCAAGCTATATTCCATTTACAGTCAACTGAAACTAGAATATTTAGAGTTTAATTTATTTAAGCAGTCTAGAGGTCTAATTTTGGTGAACTGCATCCTAAAAACACATTTTTCCTTTACATTGCTTATAAAGGGAGCCTGGAGTGAGGAGCTTATATACAGCTGTTAAAATTTTGGATTTTGACAGTTGGTCAGATGAATCAAAGGCTACTTCCCTAACCAACAATGAGCAATCATTACTTAAAAAAATGAATTAAACATTTCTGTCTTTTGTTTTGCTGATTTCCAATTGGAACAATTAAACTATGAAAAATGAAAACAAACGAACAAAAAAGCAGCAATATAGAATGATCAACGTGAGTATGAAGGTCAAAAAGCTGCATGGGAGAAGCCACATATCAATATTTTCATTTCTTATAACTGAATTTCATAATGGAAATACTTAAAAGTTAGGGTTCAATGCCTGGGCTCACTATTTTACACTGAGTAAAAATCTGCTGTGAATTTTTAAGCTGTCAATCTAAAAGGGAATGGTGCTCTCTGGTGTTGGTACTTTGTTGGATTCTATGTATAAATATGTCTTCAATTACTTCTTATTAATGCAAATGATAAAACTGCTTGAATAATCTGCTAGTCCATCAGTAAATTTCACCCTTAGTCAAGAAGAAACACAGCTGGTTTCAAATTTAAACTTCATTTAAGTGGTTACAGCAAAACTATTAATTGCCTATAGATAACTATATAAATCTCCTAAAAATCACAAGATTGTTTATTCAATCTTGTTTCTGTCTCTTCTTCCTTAAAATGCTACTTTACTTCAAATTTGAGATATCAAAGCTTTAGTTATTTCTTTAGTACTTGTGGTAAGCATAAGTTGGCCATCAAACTACAGTGTCACTAACTAAAAACAAAACTGCAGAGCTATTAAAATGTTATTAGAGTGACCATTTTCTTCCAAGAATACAGAAACAAAATGTTATCAGCTGTCTACCATGGCCCCATTCACTGTAAACGTCTTTGCCCAGTTCCACATAAGTCACACTTTAAAGCACATACAAATGGATTTAAAATGCTCATGGAYGAGCTGGAAACAGCTGCCAGTCACAAAACTTGGAAATAGTTTTCTGTCATTAACTTCCATTTAGCACTTCCAGAAAGAAAGAAAAAAAATAAAAGTGGTACTGAGTTCTGAAGCATTATTTTGAAACAGAGACAATCTGCTTCATTGAATGTCTGGAGAAGAATGCAGACAGGAATAATTTTGTGTTTGAAGTGACGGTCCCCTTGTGTTATCTAATTGTAGACATCAAAACTGTTTCTTTAGTCTATGATTCTTTGAGATGCCTGATGCCAGGGAATCACTCCAAAACCCTGAGTTAGATATGTGTACCACCTGCTTCTTGGATCTCAAACCTGATGACTGTACATTTTTACTCTATTCTGTGATTATATTTCATCTGCATAAACTATTCATGACTAGATGGCTTTGTTCCACCATCACTTAAGGAAGCTGCAATCATTCTTGGCTTTTCAGAGCTTTCAACCTCTACAGTTTGAAGATTATTATTATCTATGGCTTCTGCTCGCAGCTATTTCAAGTAATGATATCAAAGTGGTTCTTATCATTTCAAATCCCTCTTCTTTCTCACCATTGTCTCTAAGGGAACCTGAAGGACACATCTATTTTCAATACTCTCTATTGATTTCATACTACCTTGCCTATGTAGACTTGCACATGACCAAAGCTATTGTTTTCTTTGTTACTTAAAATGGCATTAAAAGATTAAGTTAAAACAAGCGTTTTATATTCTTTTCAGCTGTGGACTAGGCAAATAGAGTGGCAATAACTTGTCTATATCATTCTGACAACAGTGGTTTTATTTCTATATGACTGTCATGCTAACAATACTTTACTTGAGACTTCAGCAAAGCATCACATTAGCTGTTCTACAAGCTGCAAAAATACAAGTAAAGCCACAGGGCTACCAATCATCTTCTGATAGCTGCTATTTTTACTGAGAAAAAAAAAAAACTATTTCCATATCTCAGCTTTCAAAATTACAGCTCAGTCAGACAAACTCTGAATCATTCCTCAGGGCTAAATATGTATGGGCACTGATGTATTGTTGGTGGCTGTGTTTCAGACAAAGATAAGCCATTCTTTCCTTCACAGACTGACTTTGCCCACACCCTGTCTCTGGCCAATGACATCAGATAAGCAAGAAGGAGTCATGGGGAATACTCTTTGTTTCACCAAGGGCTTTCACAAGTGGAAATCATAAAGCAGAATCTCTGCTTTCTTCAATGCAAATTGAAAAACAGAGATAGAGCTGGCTGAAGAGGGTTTACAGCCCACATYTCCACAACCTGTAGCAACACCTTCTCTACCAGACCCAAGTCACCATGTGGTTGGCAGTGTCAGTGAGCACAGGGAGAGCAGCCGGTGCTGGAGCTGTTGAAGAGACATCAGGGATGAAGCTGGGATCTCCAGTTTGAGAAAAATGTCCCAGGCTCACTCCACTGTAATATGAATCCAGCAAAGTATATCAGTCTCTTTCAGCAAAGCTGAAATACTGCCTGGTTCGCAAGTCAAGAGCAAGAAACATTTTCTACTATTTCTGTAATTCCTGCTTTTTTGCACATTCCAATCCATTTTTTTTTTTTCATCTCCATGCTTGACATCTATCATAGACAGAATAGATAGGATAGACAGAAACTACCACAGGGAAGAGACCTCCATGTATCTGGAGCCTTTTGTGTCTATGCAGCACATACCTTTTTCACTGAATGAAAAAAASTCCTATACACTGCATATGCTTCCCTCAACTCCACCTAATACACAAGTCCCAAAGTAAACAGCATTAGCTTAGGTAAAAAAAAAAATATTTGCCAAAACAAATATAAACTAYAGCTAATAAAAGTTGAGGTGATATTTTCAGCTTGAAGGATAAGGTAAGGTTCACAAAGGAGTTGTGATCAAAAACATCTCAGAGAGCATCCTAGGCTGATGGGGATGGCCTGCCTGTTTAATAACGTCCTCTCCTGAAGAAGCTGCCTTCTCCATAGGACATTGCAATGGAAGCAGAAAAAAAATGCACCTCTCACTAGAACACAGGATTTAAAGGCTAGGAAGTCTTTACCTTAAAGGAAGACCTGTAAGGTAATTTGTAACTTTAAGAAAAGGAGATGAGATTATCCTAATATTTAAATTAATAAAGTTCACGAACATTTTTGAACAATATTGAACATGCATCTATTGCACTCAGAGCAAGGCAAAGAAAACCACCTGTCTGCCCACAGGCAGGTGATAATCAGATAAACTTATAATAGTACTTGTTATATCAAGTTACTTTAATGGGGCATAAGATTTTTCTTTTCTTTTTTCCACGTAATAAGGCTTAGTACCAATACTTTTTCTGGAAGTTGAGCTTGCAGATATATCTTATATAGAAAATGATAGATATTTTAAGCAAATAAAACCCAAGCTCAAAACACATTGCATAGCAGTAACAGCATTAGGTCATGTAATAGACAAAAGAAAAGTCTTTCCATTCAAAAACAAGCAGAACACTTCTACTGATTCATTGTAATTTCTCATGCAATATTTTTGTATAGTCTGATTTATGTTCCTAAAGATAAATAAAAAGATAGAGATGTATCCTCTAAAATACCTCTCTCACCACACTTTCAATCCATTATATTGCTAGGCTTCGCTTTCTTGTCAGCATAGA